GAGAGAGAGAGACCTTTAGAGTGAAACCTTTTAGAGAGAGAGAGAGTGAGGACCTTTTAGAGAGAAAGAGAGAGGGAGAGAGAGAGCTTTTAGAGATAGAGAGTGAGGGCCTTTAGGAGAGAAAGAGAGAGAGGGCGAGAGCTTCAGGAGATATTGAGAGAAAGTGAAAGGACCTTTTAGAGAAAAAAAAAGATAACCTTTTAAAAAGAGAGAGTGAGGACCTTTGAGAGAGACAGACATAAAGCCTGAGAGAGAGAGAGAGAGAGAGAGAGAGAGAGAGAGAGAGAGAGAGAGAAAAAGAGAGAGAGAATACCTCGTGAGACTGGCGGATGCAGTCTTGGCCCGGCGGAGGCTGGCGGCGGAGGGCGGCGGAGGCTGGCGCAGGCTGGCGGCGGAGTCAAGCAGGAAGTCGTGGTCAAGCAGGAAGTCGTAGACGACGGCGGGCGGAACTCGGGTTGACGAGACGCTAGACTCTCACAAATGACACTGCCGTCAACCGGCGTGTCTAATGCAAGAGTTTTGCTGTTCTCGATTTCCGTCGTTTCCTTCGTCGGACCCACGCAATTAACGGGAAAAAAAAAGGGTACCGACCTTTTTTGGATGGTGTCGGCCGTGGATTCGCCGGTACCGGCCTCCGTTTTTTGTTTTGGTACCTTAATTTTTCAGGGTTGGTACCGGGCCTCGTTCTGGGCTCTTTTTTTCTTGGTACCGGCCTCTTCTTTTTGGGAACGACCTCTTCCTCCGACGATTTCGCCGCCGATTTCGGCGAAGCACAATCTACTCCTTGTTGGTGCTTGAAACCTACCTACACAGCGCAGCTTGCGCATCACAACAATTCCACCTACAACACTGTTTTTGTTCTTCTTTGGATCTGGCCTGGTTTCGTTGGTGCAACACCGTTATTGTTCTTGTCTCGATCTGGTTTGGTATCGTTAGTGCAACACCGTTCTTTTTCTTCTTCTACTATGGCTCGCAAGGGTAAGTGCAATGAGGTTGTCACTTCCCATAGCCTTCTGTCGAATCGGCCCGCTTGAAGCATGAAAAAGCAGTAAGAAAGCTCTCCTTGATTGGTACATTGGTGATACTCACTTCCCATAGCCTTGGGTTATGTATGCTCGCCAAACTGGGTGGGGGGAGATTCGCGATCTCCCCCCACCTTTTTTTTT